TTAGACATGTCTCGTATGTTGGATTAACAATTGCCATTTGGTATCATTTCCCCTCTGTGATTTATTCGGAGATTATTAGATACGCAAAAAAGTGTGTCTTATAAGACACGCTGGTACTGAAAGGGTTATCCATTGAAAAAAGTCAAACATTTATTGTTGTTTAATATCACATATATATACTAGATATTTAGAGCTAAAAAGTTTGATAAGATGAAAGTTTGGTAAGATTTGTAGCAACTTGCAAAAATCTTAGCTTTTATTTTTAGACAGAAGACGGATTGTAATGAAACAGAACGCCACTCTTTCTCCGTTGCTGTAAACTATGTGATAAGATCGATGCGTCGTCACAAAAAAATTACATGACCGTTCGACATCCATACGTGGAGAAGATACTTAAACGTACCTATCGATCTATAAACAAGTCAGAACTAATAGAATTATTACTAAATAAATTAGTTTATCGAAAGTGTTATAGAAAATTTTATAGAATAACAGCACAGCAACGAGCGATGCTTCCTTCCATCTCAACAGCTACTCATCAAAGAGGACCATTAAGTAGTCGAATCCACATATTGTCACCACCTCAAAATTTTATCACGAGAACATCAGCACAGAACGTACCTCAATTGAATGTTGGAAATAGTCATCCCCATCACTTCGATGTTGGTGGTTCACAGTCAGAAGAATTGTACGGAGCATGTCCCGTTTCTGATACAGTGAACACACCTTTCGTACAATCGATTTGTATCTACTCCTCTCCAGAAAATCTACCATGGGCACCTTCATGGGCAGTCGTACCGACAGAAATGTCACTGATCAAGAACAACTACAGGCCGATGTTGCCGCTTCCTTGGTAAATGATGAGGTTATACGCCGACATTATAACTACGAGCACCGTTCTTCTATTGCATCTTCAGTGGTTGAACAATTGAATAACAGTAATACGAACAGTCCAAATGTTTGTGTGCTAGCCAGCCAAAGAACAACAATAAAACAATCTAGCTGGAGAACACCATTGCCGGAGATTTATACGAACAGAAAGAAGATATTTACTCATATCTTTTTAGGATACATCTATTTGGTATGTACGTTTGCTATGTGAAAAAGAAGTATGGATTTGTATGAATTCTGTGATTATTGTGATTTCCTCTAGGATACGCCAGATACATGAAGTTGTAATTATTGTGATTTCCAGCACCGCCAGCATCGTAAATCCGTCACTATACTTTCTGTCTGTCTCTATCGATCAATCAATAAATAAATATTTATACCTCATCTGAGTTTGACTTATTCAATGTGAGAGAATGGAAGTAGTTCTCTTGTAGGTAGTTGGATTCCAAATACTAATAGTTAATGGCAAGCAAAACTATAAACTACTCTCTTTAGAAGAAAAACCAATGAACTACTTACATTTACCATGTCTTACCTATTTAGTTTGTTGATTGACATTAGATGTCTGGGAATTTGTAGTTTCTGTAGACGTTGAATAATTTGTTAACTTCAATTTTGTTTTAGTAGTTGATGAGGAGAACGTCAGTGATGTGGCTTTGTCGACAGGCGTTGATGAGAGGGAATCAGAAGTAGAATTACAAACAGAAGTAAGAGTGTGAGTGTTTGATTGTGAAGTAGCAGTGAAATTAGTGGAGAGGTTTTGAGAAGATGACGACTTCGAGGCACCAAACGCTGCTGCCACAGCAGATTGGTATCTTGTAATAGGCACAAAAAGTAGTTGCAATGCCACTACTTCTCGTCTGCATAATATATGAATAATCTATAAGTCTTTTTTTTGCAAAACACCACTTTCATGAAAAACCTTTAAAAATATTCAAATAATATTTTTTATTCTTTCTATGTAAGTCATTTTTTCGTCATAAACTGAAAAAAGAAGGATTTTGATAAATACACTAGAAGGATCTTCCTAAAATGATCATTTATGAACATCTTTTTATGAAATACCCACAAATCGCCGCGCCCATTCTCCCCTATGAAGTTTTGTAAAGTATGACATGGGTGCTCGGATTTTCTGGACGTTTGTAAACAGTTAATAACTGTTATAGTCGCCTTATATCAATTATTTACTCTGTATGACTGACGTTTTTTCTATACCAAAAAGCATTGTATATATGCTTTTCTTATCAAAGAACATGGTACCTGAATAAACGTTATTGTTCCACTTATCTGATCAAAAATCAACTGTAACAGCTCAAAGCTTTTTAAACAGCCCAAAATAACAACTACTGCTCTTTACAGATTTTTGTAAAAGATTCGCAAAATCATACTGTAGAAAAGTCGTTTTCAACTAGTTGATTTATTCCATTGTGTTATTAGCATGAAAACGTAATTTTTTAGAAAGTAACATTCTTTTTGAATTAATATGACCATTTGTTGATGTAATTAGATTACTTGTACATTTTCCATTAACTGTGAACGTTGTATATTCATAACTCATCCTGTTGTAATGGTCAACGCTAGAGCCATTAAATATTGATGTATCTGTCGATTTGACTGTATCAGATAGAGAAATTATGTTGTTTCCACTTTTTGTATCTGTCTTATAAGTTTGTTTTACCGTAACGATTTGCTGCGTTATCGTGTCCGATAAAGCATTAACTGTATAATCAAGTGTAAGCGGAAACGAAAATTTCTGTACAACTCGAGTACTACGATGTTTATTCCCCGCACCCCCTGCAATTGTCTCTGTTATTGAATAAACATTTGTTATTTGTGTAATGTTTTGAATATATTGTGTAGGTGTGATGACAAATTTCTGTTTATTTGAGAAATCTATACTTTGTGAAACGGTTGTACAGACTTGTCCATGAGAAGTGTTTATTTAACCAGATAATGTGAATGTTCGAGCTGCTGTTGTTGTTATAGTAGCATTAATACTATCACCAGACGAATCATTTGTCAACTTTTCATTTATCGCTGGAGGTTTCGTTAATCCTATATCATTTTTAACTACTGATCCTGTTACTTTTCTTGAACCATGATCAAGATAGACTAACAATGAAGCAACAACAGAAAAATGATCCTGACAATTATAAACACTCAGCGATACTTGATGCGATTGTTTGTCATTACTTAATACACCTGCGAAAGGTGTTAAATCAACACGATATCGTTGAAAATTTAATGTTTGCACAGCAGTAATTGGAGTCCATAGGTCTGGATCTATAGCACCCGTATAGATCCATGGAAATATTGGAGCTACACCTGCTGGTTGTTCGTTGATGCTTATTTCAGTTTCACGAAATGCAGTATTCGGGCAACTTTGTAACGAATCACTGAGTTCACTAGGCACGCATGTGTACCAAAATTCATCAGAACTTTGGCTTTGAGCAAAAACATCTAGATAGACACGTTCAATATTTGAAGGTAAATTGAATGCGACTGTGAGTTGATCAGTTGAATTAAATAATAAAACTGTTCCTCCTGCTTCATTGCCTAATGGATAAATTCTATCGGCAACGTTTGGTTCTTGTTTTCCACTTTTGAGTGGATAGAAATACAGAAAGCCTGTTCCATAGATAATACCTGTAAATTCTGAATTAACAAGATTGCCTAAATCAATTTCACCTAATTGTTGAGTATGAAATAATGAACTATATTCAGTAAGATCCACGACTCTGCACTAGTTGGTGATGGTTCTTTTGTTGTACCAAAATAAATATTCACACGTCCAAGTGCAATAGTGACTGTTCGATCAAACTGAATGCCTTGGGTAACATTAAAATTGCCTTCAAATACAACCTTGGACCAAGGTCCTGCACAGATCGGGCTATAATTGAAAGATCGCAGATTAAAATCATCAAATTTATATTCATCGAATAGCGTAACGATACATGGTTTGCCCATGTTTGAAACGTAGGTTGTTGGTGGACATTCTTTTTTGGCCAAGCCGTCTTCAGCAAAAGCATTTCTTGCTTTAAGGTCTTCATTTCTGAAAAACAAGAGAGAATTTATCATATCACTCCAAGCAATTCATCAGTTTCTAAAATAATTTCACTTTGTTAGTCACAAAGAATTAAAACAACCAATTGTTACGTAAATCACTAAATGATCAAATAAAATGATTTTGTTACGTTTCTCGACACTACTTTTTATGATCACATTTTGTAGAGAAAACGATTTTACACATTTCGAAGTGCATATGAACCATTATAACATTATGAAGACTTTTTAAAATAACTTTTCTGAGGAGATACATGAAGCATATCGGCGCTTAATAAAAAACATTTTGTTCAAAGTCTAATATAAAGTTATAGTAAAGCTTGGTATAGAAAAACAGCTCTTGAAAAGCTCTACAATAATTTCCTTTTCCATAGGACGTGGCTATGCCAAGGAAACTCTTGAACATTTTTCTCTATGAAACTAAAGTTAACCAGGGATTCTAGTTCTTTTGAACGCGAACTACGGTTCGAGCAAAATAGCGACACTACTAGCGTTGTAATTACTATAGCATACTCGATTCTGTGACAAAAGTTCTCTTAAATATTCAATCCGAAAAAAATTATATGACAAAAAAAAAAAGATTCAATTTGTAGTCACAAAATAATTTAAATGTTTAAAAAAGCTCTCTTCCAAACTGAATTTATATCGACAATTAAATAAATTCATTGCAGTAAAACACATAGTTTCTACCATGTTTTAACAACTTTATACGTATGCTTAATATAGATGCATGCACTATTGGTACTTACAGTTTTACTTTGTATGATGTACCGTTATTGGTTTGAATTATACAACGAAACAGACTTTCCTTGTTCTGGCATTTATACAAACGCAAATTGGTTATTAAGTATGCAACAGATATGATGATTATTTCTCTATACCATAGAAATATATTTCAGACTAAAAAAATGTATTCGATCAAATTATTGGGGTCACACGTTTTCAAAAACAAATTTTACATTAAAATTTTGTAATGGCTAACTAATAAGTATATGACCCGATTGCAAAATTTTTGTAATGTCTTACAATTGTTGAAAAAACTGAAAGTGACGCTAGAGAAAACTTAAATAGCACATCTTGTTCGCCATTATTGTCTGAGTCTACAACTATAGTTTCCCTACCACCGTAGTTATAACACCTGAGAAAACCCTTCTGGAAGTTCGTTTTTTCCCATAGGCACGGGGTTTCGCAATAACTGGCCCTAGACTTATGATAAAATGCATAAATTATTCACCAATCGATAGCTTTCGATGAGCTCTGTCTATGCCTACTACCAGTGTTTCCGTTTTAGCTTCGACTAAGGAAAGCGGTTCCTTTACTTTGCCAAAAGAAAGAAAAGCGATATCTTTTCTTTTTTGCTAAAATTGTTTATAAAAGTACATTAAAAAAATGACCCAATTTTTTTTAAAGAACAAATCCTTTTTAAAAATCCCCTACTGTTCTGATTGGTCCGATACACCAAGCACACATACAACTCTTTTGTAAGATCCTAGACTGACTTCAACGGAATAATAGCAAAGTATTTGGCGATTGTTTTACAGTAACCGTTTCAAGCGAACAAGCGAAATACAGTCTTGGGTTCCGGAACGATGCGCACGAACAATATTACGCACAAATTGATTTTTTTTGATTTAAGCTTTATTTAAATAAGAAAAAGTAAAAAGTAAACAAAAATCGTTATCACTCTAACGTAGAAGCGGCTGTAGCCATTAAATCATTACTGCACACGGATTCATGCACAATCCAGTTCACTTATCCAGTCAAGGGATAAGTGAATCAGAATGATGAACATTACTTGTATTTAATGTCTGGCCCCAACTGTCTAGGTATTCTGATCAGCTCAGTTTGTAGAGAATTTCATGGGCTATCCAATGGCATTCTTTTGAAAAACATACACTGTAAAAAATAAAGTGTGCCCGTAGATGTGTAAAAGTTCTAAGTGTGCAAATGCGAATCAAAGTGATGTGCAAGTTAAGTATGTTTTGGGCACACTTTATTTTTTACAGTGTATAGTTCCATTAAGACAGAAAAAACCTTCAAAGTGAATGTTTACGCCGACCGTTTACTTCGACTTTGGGCGCAAAACTTTCTGTAACAAATATGCGTATCCCAAACTTTTGACGGTGATTCTAGATAGTACACTGAGAGTACTATCTACTGCAAGTAGTCCGACTTCAACTTAAGTTCATAAGAATGAGACTGATCGCTCACAAAAGTGTTCCATAAAGCTCCGTTTCGGTCTTGCTGCAATGTATGGAATGAGAGATATACATAATATTTGTATGTCATTATAAGGTAGACATCAAGTACTACCTACCCTGAAAAAACCACGGTTTCATCTCTTCTCATTCACGAGAAAAAGGAAATGTACATTTTCACACGTATAACTTCTCGAACTTTACTCCAGTAGAAAACATTTTATATCTACAGAAGGAAAAAATCTACGAAGGAATTGTTTGTAAACGCTTTTTTTGACTATCTTCCACTTGTCGACCCATCCGTCAACGGATCCCATCGTTATTTAGCGAAAGACTTAGTCTGTCTTCTCATTTATGAAGGCTGACAGAAAAGTTATGCTTTTGCTTTTTTGTTTGTACTTAAATTATACGGATGAAGTTCTTTTAGGTGAGGAAGTTTGTGTAACTTACTTATTTGATCACTGTTTGCCAACTAATGAACGACAAAAACTTTTACAATCAAGAAATTTTAAATGTCAATGTTTACGTTGTTCAAAGTCACCGCCTCCGACAGATTTGGTAATGACATCGGATATTAATAGTAAATTATCAAATGAAGATACCGGGTATGTACGCAAACGTTATGACAAACTTATGGAAAAATTTAAAACAAAAGTGTTTGGATGTGGTAGTATACCGTTAACAAAGCAATGGATTAATGGATTATACATAAAGGGCGCTCTGATTGAAGAGACAATGTAATTCAAAACTGGACGACGTCGAAAGAGATATTATGAGAGAGCTGAAAAAATCGACTTTTTTTGCGCCAGACGGATTGAACTGAACTTTTGGGTAATGAATAACGACAATTAGTTAAACATTTTTGGAAAGTTTCATCAATAAAGTGTGAACGGTTGCAAAGATAATTATTTTATAGGTGGCGCTAAGAGAGTATCGTTCATTCTCGTTGAACATAGCGCTGTTGAACAAAAGTGATTGTTTCGAATAAAAGACAGCGTGTATCCTGATTCTTCATGATTTACATGCAAGCATACCAAATATATGAGAAACATCATCACCAACCGATAAACAGGTGATATATGACCACATGGCTCCTAAAGTATTGACGAACACTAACGGATGGCGCAGAAATAATTGCGCTCTCCGTATTTTCAAAATTTCTTCTCTCC